GGCTCCCTGCTCTACGGGAAGCCTGCTTCTCCCTCTCCCACTCCCCCTGCTTGTGTGCCCTCTTTTGCTGTCTCTCTGTCAATTAAATAAATAAAATCTTTAAAAAAAAAAATAGGTATGATCCATTTTTTCCCTTGTCTCCTTCTACTTTCCTAGAAAGCATAAATTAGACATAAAGCAAAGGAAAAGTGAACAAGATACTAAATTTTCAAAATGGATCTTTAGCTTATTCCTCATAAAATATACCATCTGTCTAAAGCTACTGAAGCAAAAGGAAGAGAAATATCAATGTGGTTTTCGATATTAAGGGAGTCATCTTTAAAACGCCATTAGCTAGCAAACGTTACTGAGCCAATGAAAATCATTGAAATGCTCAATAAATTTGCCCTTAGCTGCATTCCGCATGACTGGACAAAAATTCCTTCTCAGCAGTGACGTGGCATAGACAGACGCACTGCTGGTACCAAAGAAAATTCTAAGCCATGCCAATTGTACCCAGAGAAGCATCACACGGCAGTGAAGCCAGGCAACTCACTCGCTAAACCGCCAACTGTTTAAACCTTGAAGGCTACCTACTTTGTTACAGGAGTTTAATAAAATGAAGTAAAAATGAGCAGGCAAGCTAGAGAGCAACAAGAAAAAGCAAGTCACTTTATACCATACAAGAGTTCTGAGAGAAAAGAGCAACATGATTCAAGAAGTGATAAAACATAATTTCTCTACTTCATGACACCGGAACTTTTTGCATAAAATGAAACTTGCAAAATGCTATTTCTGGTGTAGGCATGAGCCTCCTCGAAACCACCCTCACTCCAATCAACACTGAAAAAAGCCAGCAAAATGTCCAACGAACCCGACGAAAGGAGGTTTGATTACAGCTAATAAGGAGAGAGACTGATGGAGGTGACCAAAAAAACACGTAAGTCACTGCCTTGGTCATACCTTAACCGTGAGAACACCAACACATAAGCTTCTGGACCCCGTATTTTAATGACCCACATGGGCAGTGTGGGGTGTGCAGCCCAATGGAAGCAAATCAGGCATCCATACTGCACAGGTACCTCTTTGCCAAGTTATGGTTTCTGGATCAATGTCCAATCTTGCAAATCTGTTTATCTCGTCGTCAGTCAGTGTGGTAGGGTCGGTTTTTTCAATGCCTAGTCTCTGAAGAGGCAGGAAAATTGAATTAAGACAAAACAAATAAAAGCCTGATAATTTTTTAAAAGACTTTTTTATTTATTTGAGGTGGGGGGCGGGAGGGGCAGAGGGCAAGGGAGAGAGAGAAACCCAAGCGGACTCCGCACTGAGCACAGAGCCTGATGCAGGGCTCGATCTCGCAACCCTGAGATCAAGACCGGAGCCGAAACCAAGATTCGGATACTTAACCGAATGAGCCACCCAAGTGTCCCAAGCATGTTAAATATTTAAAAAATATATTCTCTATCTCCAGATGGGGTGCCTTCTAGGAAATATAAACTGTGTTATATTCAGAAGGGAAAACTATAATCCCTTAGGATGAAGCTTTATTTCCTCCTCACACACATACAAAGGTATTACTAACATGTTTACTCCTATGTAACTGAGCACCAGAGGTACTTCCCTAAACCTAGCCCTAAATAAGCATAATGACCCACAAGTGTTGTACCTAATTCACCAAACCCAAACATATTGAAAGGAAAAAGCAAAGTGCAAAGCTTTTTCAATCAGACAACTGAGAAGCCCAATTCAAATGAAATAGGAGGAAAGGCAAAAATAAGTATCAATCATCAAAAATCAATGTAAATCACTTTTCCGTGCTTTTTATATAGACTGCATTTTCACTGCCTTCTGACTGTTCCAAAAGGCACAAAAGAGGTTTGTCTCTTCTTCCTGAAGAACTTGGAAATTTTATTTACTTATAGTGTATATGCAGCTCACATCCTGAAATGGAAAGTGCCTATATAATGTATTCTCCTTTTTTTCTAAAGTGTGGTAGATCTGAGTGGGCTCCAACAAATCCTGTTCTTCCCACAGTTCCTTTTTTATACTGTGAGGACTTTGTTTTAAAACCTCAGATGTGTTTTCAGAGCTGGCCCTCACGGGCTCATCAAACTGGTCTCACCAGCCTAGTACATGATGTTATTTACAGAGTCAGCAAAACTTTCAGTCACTAGGCTGAGAGTCCGCCGTTGACAGCCCACTCTGACTGAGCACACAGCACCAGACTGGGAGAGCACAGAGGATGCTTGGGGACCAGGAAAGGTTCTAGTTCCAACTTGGTGTGGGGTACTGTAGCCTCGGGCAAGTCCCTTGATTTCACACCCTAGAGCTTTTTAAAGGATCAGACAGATTTAGTCCAGCACCTCCCCACATCTGACAGAAAGTTCCATCATCAAAGTTAAGATTAGAAGTTGCCTGCTGAGGCACCTGGGTGGCTCAGGCAGTTAAGCGTCTGCCTTCGGCTCAGGTCAGGATCCTAGGGTTGTGGGATGGAGTCCCCACATCAGGCTCCCTACTCAGCAGGGAGTCTGCTTCTCTCTCAGCCCCTCTCCTGCTCATGCACTTGCTCACACGCTCTACCTCGCAAAAATAAAACCTTTAAAAAATAAATAAATAAGAAGATTCACGTTTTTGTATGAACACAAGTTCACATTTTTCTTGGACCTAGGAGTAGGATTTCTGGGTCACATGGTACAGTGTATGTTTGATGACTATATATTTGTAATGGAAATTCAAATAAAATATAGAAGTAACCGCTCTTGCTTAAGATCCCAGTGCCAGGAAGAGCAGGTATTCAAACTCCAGGATGCTGGCATCCTGACTCCTATCCATGCTATAAAGGACATATCAGTCTTCATCCTAACTGAGGGCAGGTTGTTGGTGCTCTCCTTATTCCAGGACTAACCACTTAAAATTTATTGATGAGTGAGAACCTCTACCACCAATCTTTGCTAGGTGTATCATGACCTTAAGACCATGGTTATGGATGTAACTTGATCCAAAATAGGTTACTCTAAGGAGATTTTCATTTCCTTATCTCTTTACCAATCACCCAATTTCATACAATATCAAAAATGAAGAAGGGAAAATTTTACCTGTAACCTTCGGATTTGGATATCGGAGAACTTTCTCACTCCATTTACTGATGGTACCAAACGACTGAAGAGAGCCTTAAAGAAAAGGGAGGAAAAGGGCTTTTAAATGAGAGGAACTGCCTCGCTACCCGCAACATCAGCACCCGAGGGGCCAACATTAATTTGGGTGCTTTAACCCTTTCAAAAGTGTCCCTGGGGCCTCAGCAGCCTACCTTGTCTGTCTGCGTCAGCTCATGGAACATCCGGGCATCGATGGCCGCGGCGACAAGGTTATTTGCTGCAGTGATGGCATGGATGTCGCCGGTGAGGTGGAGATTAAACTATAACAGAGCAGAGGCCACGTCAGGCTTTCAACTTCCCTGCATCTTTCCAACCATCAGTGTATCGCAACCCAATCAATCCCTACATTAAAGCTAACGGAAGGGCGCCTGGGTGGCTCAGTCGGCTAAGCGACTGCCTTCGGCTCAGGTCGTGATCCTGCAGTCCCGGGATGGAGTCCCGCATCGGGCTCCCTGCTCAGCGGGGAGTCTGCTTCTCCCTCTGACCCTCCCCCCTCTCATGCTCT